TTCAGGCAGCGGAGACATTGCAGTAAGATGCAGGAAGAAGGGGTTGTCCCACGCCTGAGGTAAGGGGTCTTTGGTGACTTTAAGTTCCCACATCTCAAAAAAACAAAACAAAACAAAAAGGAGGGTGTGGTGGCTCATGCCTGTAATCCCAGCACTTTGGGAGGCTGAGATGGGCGGATCACCTGAGGTCGGGAGTTCGAGACCAGCCTGACCAACATGTAGAAACCCCGTCTCTACTAAAAATAGAAAATTAGCCTGGCGTGATGGCCCAGGCCTGTAATCCCAGCTACTCAGGAGGCTGAGGCAGGAGAATCACTTGAACCCAGGAGGCGGAGGTTGCAGTGAGCTGAGATCACACCACTGCACTCCAGGCTGGGCAACAAGAGCGAAACTCCATCTCAGAAAAAAAAAAAGCCCCCACATCTTATCATTTTTTTTCTTTCCTTCAGGCTGTGGGCAGAGTCAGAAGAGGGTGGCAGACAGGGAGGGGAAATGAGAAGATCCAATGGGCCAACCATTGCTAACCTGGTCGGAGCTACTTCCTTCTCTGCTCAAGGCTCCTGGACATCCAGAGCGGGGCTGAGTAAGGGTCTTGGGGGGACGGGGCAGGGGGCAGGCTGAAGGGTGCCCAGCTGACACACTCTCCAAAGCGAGGTCTTCTGCCGGACCCCCAGGAAATGACTTATCAGTGATTTCTCAGGCTGTTTTCTCCTCAGTACCATTCCCTCTAAAAAATCACTTTTCATGAGCAAGGATGCACTCACTGGCACTCCTGCCCCTCTCACCCGTCCCCAGAAGTCCACTCCTTCCTTCCTCACCCTGCAGGAGCTGGCCGGCCTCATCACCCCCCTATCTCCCCACCTCCATTCTCCAACCACAGGGGCCTCGTCTCCCTTGTCCTTTCTCCTCCCTGAGCCAAGCCTCCTCCCTCCTCTACCTCCTCCACCTAATACATATCCTTAAGTCTCACCTCCTCCAGGAAGCCCCCATACTAATCCTGGTCCCCTTGAATGCTTCGTCCACACCTCCAGACTTCCTCAGGGCCTGTGATGAGGTTTGCACTTCTGTGTGTACTTGTGTGATGGTTAGAGGACTGCCTACCTCCCAGAGGACGCTGAATGCTCCAGGCGGTTCCGGCTGTTGATTTATTTACTTCTTTCACAACTATTTACCTAGCAAGTCTTCCATCAGATAGCATTTGGAGAGATGGGGGTGTCACAGTGAACCACGACCTCTAGGCCAGTGGGAGAGTCAGTCACACAAAATGCACAGGGTCCCACTGTGAGTCCATGACCTGGGGCTTAGCCAGCACCCACCACCCTCACGCGCCACCCCACAACCCCCTAGAGGAGTCTGAACCTGCACGGAGCCCAGCCCCGGGCTTTTTGCGTCCTGGTATTTGTTCCTTCCTGGTGCCTGTCACTCAAGCACACTAGTGACTATCGCCACAGGGAAAGGGAGTTGGAGGGAGCGAGACTGGAGAGGAGGACGGACTCTGCGCGGAAATTCTTTTGCGTTCCTATGGGCCAGGGCGTCCGGGTGCGCGCATTCCTCTCCGCCCCAGATTGGGCGAAGCCTCCCGAGTCACACTCGCTCGTCCGCGTGTTCCCTGATCCCGCTGGAGCTGACGCGCGTCCAGCGCGTGCCAGGCCGGGGCGGGGGTGCGGGCTGACTTTCTCCCTCACTAGGGACGCTCGGGCGCTCCAAAGAAAAGGGTGGCGCTGCGCTCCGCGGTGGAAGAGCCGACAGCGCCCGACCCCAACGGGCCCCCTCGCCCAGTGTCGCGACCGCCCTGCTTCCTGGCGAGCTGGATGGGCGGGAGTGGAGTGGCGGGTGGAGGG